TTATAAAGAATCAAATTTTTTTAATAGATCACGGCATGTGACAATTGAATTTTTAGCATCTGTAGTCCCATCACTAGCCGTAATGTAAAAATAGAAATATTTTAGTTTCAGCCTACAGTCGCAGAATTACAGTATCATGAGTATTATGGGCATTACGGCTTTACAGCTTTACGTCATTACGGCATTACGGCATTGCGGCATTACGGTTTACGGCATTTACGGCATTCAGGTTCTTTGCCGTGTATATGTACGGCATTACGGCATTATGGCATCTGCCGTAATTCAGTAATTACGGCAGCAACTATAATGACATTATTTTTTGTGCTCTCGAAAAATAGTATTATTTACATAATGCGATTCTTATTTTTAGCACGTAGTGCCTGGTCACGAGCAGATAAACCGGTGATGGAAATTGGCGATCTCAGTGAAAAGGAATCAATAGATTATCTTATTAACAAGCGCAAGATCGACTCTGTAGAAGCAAAAAAATTATATGAATTGGTTGGTGGGCGTATTGTGGATCTAAAATCTGTTGCGGACAAGTCTCTAGCTGGACAAAAATTCGAAGGTGGGAATTGGTTTCATTATTTTGCATTAATCAAATTTACGCAACTGGATCACTTCTTACTAATTCTTTTTCTGCAGTTATTAAACAGCAAGTCTTTGGTACAGTCTATGATTATCTTGAGGCGGCAGGAATGAATCCAAGTCAACCAAATTACGAGGCGGCAAAAATTATCATCAGAACTTTGTTAAATTCTAATGATTTGCTTCATATTAGCATGCTTCGAAAAATGACCAAAGTGGAACCAAGCAAGTTATTGGAGGGTAATGTATTTGCATATCACCCTGAAAATAAGACTGTAACTTTTCAGTCTCGCTCAATAGAATGTTACATCCAAGAAAATGCTGACGAATTCATTAAATAGTTTATGATTAAAAAAACAGAAGATTTAATGTTAATTAATCGCATAATAAAGGTTTATTAATCTTATTCAGACGAAAATTTATTATTGTTTTATTTAAAGAAAAGATGTGAAATTAAAATTAGTCTTTATACTAATCTTAGCTAGTCTCTAGAAATTCTATAAAGGGTGAATTTCTAGTGTTGACAACCTGCATTGAAGAATTCTCTTTGAGATATTACTAATTGCAAAAATAAAATCTGTTTTATCTGATATATAACTCAAAGAGTAGTCTCTAAAGGATCTAGTTATAGCTATCCCATTTTGTTAACTAGTAAAGATTGGAATAAGTAGAGGTGAATCAGAATTAAAGAATTTATTATCTGAATAATCTGAATGTTCAATTTTAATTTTTGAATTAAGTTTTTTCATCACTTTATTACTAATTTTTTACATCTTTTCAAACTAAGATATTTCAAATTAGTATAGTTGTCTATCTCTTCAATAGTTTTATTACTAATTAGATAATCACTATACTTAAGATATTTAAGTTTTGAATATAAGTAAATAATTTCTGTAATATACTAATTAGTGAGACATATACATGAATTAAGACTCAGATACTATAGTTTTAAAGAAAAGTTTATAATTTCTATAATTAGTCTATTAGTAAAATTCTTACTTTTATCAAGAATAAGTAAGCATATATTTGGATATAGATATAGAATTATACTAATTAATATATCTGAGATTTTTAAACCTTTAAATCTGAAATATACTATTTTGGCATAATCAATTAGCATTATCTTTTTATATATAACTTTTTTAAAAGTTTATAATTGCCAAGTAAGAGTATACCAAAGATAGTTAACAAATAAAATAGGATAAAGGAATTAATAGATTTTTAAAAAATATAAGATCTGTTCTAGCAATTCTATTAAATTAAAAATATTTAGTTATACTATTTTTTTTATTTTTTTTTTAGCAAAGCTAAGGTGAGGCTATGTTTCTATCTTTATTGATAATTTAATTAAAAATTTACAAAAGAAATTTTTGTATACTATGTAATACAAGATATAATTTTAAACTATATAATAAGATTTGAAACTTATACTAATTTATCTGTGACCTAAACCTACTAGAGTAGTCATAACTTATCTAGATTTGAAAGTTAATAATATTATTAGTTAGAATACTATATTTGATCTATTCAATAGACAAATATCTAGTTTATAGTGAGCTAATCCTTCAGGAAGACATAAAGAATTTTTGTAATATTTTTTAGAGTATTCACATATACAAGTAATTTTATTTAAATTAGAGTAATTATATGTTAAAGTAGACTTAGTTATTTGTTATTAGATTATAAATTTTGTTTGTAGAGTTTAAGATTAGTTGTCTGCTTCTATTCAGAGAGTTTTGTATAATAAAGTTTTTACAATTACTAATATATTAATTCTGATATTTTTATAAATAGTTCGTTATGAGCTAGTAAGCAGATTTATAAGAGTCTATATATTGGTATAATAGCTGAATAAGGTTATCTAGTATGAGATCTGTAATTGTTTGATAAAGTGAGATATTATTAGAAAAACACTATAGTAATTGTAAAGAGTAATAATTAATAAATAAGTTTTAGAAATAGTGAAGTTGTAAGAATGAAATATCAAAATTGCTTGTTATAAGATTAGATTATATATTAGATTTAATTATATTAAAAATTAATAGTGAGTTAGAACAGAATAACTAATATATGCAAAAAACTCTTTTCTGTACATCAATTTTTTATAAGCAAAACAAATATAAGAAAGATAAAAGTTTTAACTATTATAATTAAATAATTTTTATTTTCAAATCCTGAATAACAATATACACTATTACAAAAATTAAATGTAATAGAGAAGTAGTACTTTGCACTTCAACTACCTTTCTAATATTGTTGCCAACTAAGTTAGCAACTATCAAAACTAACAACAAAAGTGTTGACAAAGTTTTAACTAAACAACAGTTAGAAACCAAAAAAATAATAATAACATACTTCTACACAGAGAACTATAATAGTATAGAAAAATTAACAACAAAAAAATACAAAACTAATAATAATAATAGTACTAATATTACAACTTCTGAAGAAAAAAATTTTGAAAAAAGAGAAATTTTAGTTTACCTTCAAAATCTGCTAATATAATATTAATACCTAATACAACAACAGACTAAAACACAGATATGCAACAACAAGCAAAAAAAAATATTTCCACAGATTATACTTTCCAAATTGGTCTTAGCCTAACTTCAAATATTCCTACACCTATTACTATAGTATCTACTTCTAGGTCATATACAATACATACAGAAAACAACAAAAGAAATATACTTGAACTAGATGCTAAGTTTAAATTAGTAGTATAAGAAACTAATACAGAAATAAATGATCAACTAACTGATAATGATAATACTATTATATTGCTTCTACTTCTTTAGAGAGAACAACTAACTAGAAATACTAATAACAGCAAATACTTTGTATAATATCTCTTGTTACTGTATTTTGTCAAAGTCTTTAAATATTTTTATAAAACTTAACAAAGAAAATTTAAAGAATAAGACAAACTATAGTTGCTTTTGCAGATAATACCATATGGATAGCAAGCTTTAAAGAGCAGTTTAAAGAACTATTCAAATTGAAGAAAAGTTCTTTAATTTTAATGATATTCAAATAAATTTATTCAAATTTAAACTTATTATAATTAATTCAAAAATATAGAAGAATAAATATAAAATCATTATAGACAGACAAGAGGTCTATATAACTAAGAAAAAAGAAGCAGTTAGATTCTTAAAAATTTGAATTAGACAAAAAGTAGACAAAAAACAGATCATAACTAAAGCTAAACAAATAGTAAGGCTTTTTGCTAATATGATCAGAAAAAAGATAGTCTTAACAAGCTAAGTATTATATAAAAATAATATATATCTAATATTAAAGCTAGAATATTTGCTACAGAATATCTTTTTAACTAAAAATAAATATAAAAAAATCTAGCAACTATATATGATGATTGCTAAAAACAAATTAGGCTTAACAAGAATATTTTCAAACTTTGTAATATCTCATAGTAGGATTCTTAATATATACACTTTATGAAATATACTAAAAACTAAGCAAATACTAAACCTTATAAATAGATTAAATAAAAATTGTAAAGTTAAGAATATTATAGAGATAATTTTAAGACAAGAATAGCAAATTACTTATTATACAAATAGTATCTAAGCTGAAAGGTTAGAAGATAATAAAAAGAAACTACTTAAAAATAATCTAGCAAGTTTGATTATTCAGAACAATTTAAATATAAAGTTAGAAGTAATAATTAACTAAGAAAAATAGATAGTTAAATCAAGTGGAATACCAATTAAAAGCTTAATGAAAACAGAAATCTTTATCAAAGTAGCAATAGTACTTAGTGATTTTAATATATAGAGTATTAGAGCAAATTCTTTTTTTTTTATTTTTAAGATAACTTATATTACTAGGCGATTTTTATTAGTTTGATATATGAGATTATACATAAGTAATCCCTACAGTTTGTAATTATATGAAGAGTGTACAACAAGTCACTCGTATAACTTTAGTTATTGTTTAATTTAAGTAGTCTGCTACACAGGCAATAGACTATCTGATTAGTTCTACACTATGCTGCCATATCTGTAACCTGCCTATAAGTTACCTTTTTAAATACTCTGTTCAACTAACTCATACTATTACAAACTAACGTTACTATAATACCTAACTGTTTAAGCCAGCTAGCTCATTACAGATCTATTTTTTGACTCTAACTTAGATCCTCTCAGGATGCTTATTGCTTAACATATTGTAAGCCTGCAGAGCTCTAGTTAACCTTGAAGCAAATCTACTAGAGCAGTTCATGCTCATTTCATGAATTCATCTAGCTTAGACCCTTGTAGATATTTCTACAACTCCAGTTCCTACTATGGCATTCTACTAGTTTTCTGTTTACTAATTTCTTTGGATATTTCATGAGGTAGATCCTCCCAATCCAGTTAGCTGCTAAGCCAGGTTGGTGTTGCTGATCCTCCTTGTAGAACAGACTTACTTGAACCTTTCTTAATCTATATTTTTGAAGCATAGTTTTTTTTCTAGATCTAATGTTAGCTGGTATGACTGTTGAAAGCTGTACTTCTTTATCTATTTGGGATTTCTATTATGCAGATTCCCTGCTCATAGATTCTATCAAGATTTATTCATATAATATTATATCTCTTCAAACACCTTATTACACTTCCAATATCTGAATAATATTAGTGCAATATGATTTACAGGGTTACAACTCCAGAAATGAACAGGGTTTACTATAAGTTGAGTACAAAGGTTTGAGTAATTATTCAAATTCATTGATAATGAGATTTGAACCCCAGACCTTTTGCATAGTGGTCTGGTAACCTAACTACTACACTAAGATTACCAGATCTTAGAGCAAATTTTAAATATAAAAAAATCATATTTAATAATATAACAATAGCTAAAAATTTATAAAAAGAGATTAAAACAAGGCAAAAAAGTAATTTGGTATAAAGAAATAGAAAAGAAAGTAATAATAAGCAAAGAAAGTAAAAAAGTTAAAGATGAGTTTAAAACAGACATAAAAAATACTCTAAGTATACTAAATCTGCTTAAAAAAGTTTTACAGAATAAAAGAAAATATGAATAGATTATCTATGAAAATATATATAGCAAAAGCAGAAAGATAGAAAGAGTATAAAAGAAAAAAAATTGAGTCTTCAATAGAGTATTAAAAAAATAAAGAAAATTTAGAAATACGAGAGGAAATAAAAAAATACAAAGATTATTTAGATAACAAAAAAAAAGTATACAAAGAGTACAGAAGCTAGCAACTAAAGAAAAAGATATTAGGAGTAATTCTGAAAAATTGTGTAAATAGAGTAACAAAAATAATAGACTTTGCATTAAGATCAGTAGCTATAAGTAGAAATTTTCAAAAAATTAAAATAAATAAGTAGCCTTATATAGGTTTAAAAGCTGTTGAGGAATATGAATTTAAAATAATAGAAGTACAGAACTTTGATATGAATTTAGCAATAATGTTAAAGAAAAAAGCAAAAGCAATAGGGACAAGAGGAAAAAAGGAATTAGAATTTTACATAGATAGTTCTTTAGGTAAAGGAGTAGATATAAAGAACATAGGAGTAGAATAGGTAGGAATAGATTAGATAGAAAGTAGTATAGTTAGTATAAAAAACTTAAGAGTTGTTAACTAGCTATCATCAACTAAAGCAGAATTAGTAGAAATTTGATTAGTTTTACTATTAGTACAATATAATATAATAGTTAGAGTTCTTACAAATAGTAAGCAAGTAATAGAGAATATATTTAAAGCTTACAAAACTGAATAATATAGCAAGTAGATTAGAATATATAACAGAATAATTTTAGAAAAGATTGTATCACTTATTAGGCTAAAAGGTATCAAGTTAGAGCTCAAGAAAGTTAAAAGCTATACTAATAACAAATAGAACAATAAAGCAAATTGATTAGCAAAAGAAGGCAGAAAGTCATATATAATTCTAAATCTTGATATAATTAAAAGTGAAAACTTTAACTATGATATAGTATAAAAATCAAATAAAATCGCACGCCAATCAGAATTCGAGATCAAGTGTAACGTGAAATTGATTTCCATGTTACACCTGATCTCTAAATCCGATTGGCTGATTTTAAATTAATCAAATCATGATGAATTGACAATATCACATGATTTTCTAAACTTTTTTTGCTGTAATGTCTTCCTCCAAAATCACTCAGGTCTTTCGTAAGAGCATTTTCCCATCTCACTTTATTAACTGTCGAGTACGATGCCTTCAGTCGCCGAGTCTTATGTTGAGGAACTCGAGACCTGACCTATTTCAGTCATCGTTTTCGAGAAATTTTACAAATGCAAAAGATGCTGAGACTGGACATGAAACTGAAGCTGTGGCACCAGAAGGTCCCAAAAAGAAGCTAGCGACATCTCTTAGGGAACTGATACAAAAAAACTTTGTTGATATTTCAAAAAAACTAAAAGATCCTGTCACTCCACCTATTCGGCCTGGGAAAAATATATGGATTGTGATACGAGACAACTGGAAGCAATTTCTGGGGATCGGCATTCTAACGGACTTTCTTTTTGCTTTGGTTATGAACAAGGTCAGCGAGTATCGTGTCAATTTAACTTTAGAAAATGGTACTCGGCCCAAGTCAAAAGTGCTGGAAGATGAGTTTGTTCCTCGACCTCAAATTTCAGAAACCCTTAGGAAAGTTTTTCAGCCAAATGAACGTCAATCATATTATTATGTCATCTGCGGAGAACATGGAACCGGGAAGACAACATTGACCAGAATAGAGGCAACAAATGTTGGAAAAGGCGTTATATATGTTGATATTTTGAGAACTTGGGAGAAGCTTTTGGAAAGGCTATTAATCTGTCATTTTTCGAAGACGTCTCTATTTCAGCATTACTGATGCGGAAATTTTTTTCTATGATGAGTGTGACTAGTGAGTCTACCATTTCCCTTTACCAATGGAGGAGAGTTATGAAAATCTTTCGACGCGCCTCTGAAGTATACAAAGAAAAGAATCATAAACCACCCGTCATCATTTATGACAATATGAGCCGAATAGGTAAAGAGAATGCAAAAATTCTTGATATACTTCAGGATGACGCAAAAGATAATGCTGATGATAGAGCATACATTGCTGTGTTTGTTAGTAGTGAAGGAAATGTGCCTCGAAGAATGGAATGTAAGTATGACATTTATAGTTGCTGCCGTAATTGATTTTCGGAAAAAATGCTATTACGGCACTAAACGGCAATTTTGCCGTAAATGCCGTAAACCGCAATGCCGTAATGCCGTAATGCCGTAATTAGAGAAGTCACCCAAACCCGATGGTTTTGGCACGTGGCCAAACCCAAATAGCCGAAACTAGTTTAGGACTTGGTCGAAATAAAATCCCAAACTATAATGATATAACAATAATAAATGTCGCGAATTATCCTATTGGCTAAATTTTGCAGATCACCCTATCCCTAACCAATAAGAGTTCTTAACGTTAATCTCACCATCATCCAAATCTCATCATAATCCGCGACAAATATTATTAAAAGAATCGTTATCATAAAAAGCGACACTGCATTTATTAAAAGTATCGTTATATTAATTAGAAGCGTCATTATATTTTTGAGGCATCATTATTTATTAAAATAATCGTTATACTGTATTAAATTAAAAGCAAAAATTTTATCATCGGAATTTGGGCATTTGGGATTTGAGACTGTATTTGGGATTTGGGATTGCATTTGGGTTTTACAAAAGCCCGAATCCCGACCGAAAATGGCCGTAAGTGTCAAAACAATGCTGAAATAGTTTGAGTGACATCTCTAGCCATAATGCCGTAATTAGGGATAGGAATAGATTCTAAAAACTTCAATCGGTGATCAAATTGCTAATAATCGATTTATAATCGATAATCGAATCCTACATATATGTCGTTATCACTTATTTTAATCTTGAACAGTATTTTTAATCTAATAATTATAAAATAATAGATTTTTATAGTATTAGAATTCCGTACAAGGTTTTTAATATTTATTATTTATATATCAGTTTTAGAGGTTGGATTATCTGAATAATAAAATTGTGAACAGATATAGATATCGGATAATGTGTTTATTTAATAGATAATTATCTTTAGATAAACAAATTATCCGAATACAAACAATATTAAAATTTAGTTCATTACAACAAACCAATTTTTTTATCAGGGTTTAGTTTAATTTATCAACAAATATAATTTTAAATTCAGTGATCAAATGCTTGGATCTGGAGACCAAATTTTGGCTTAAGTTCATAAATTAGCCGTAATGTAAAAATATAAATATTTTAGTTTTAGGCTACAGTTGCAGAATTACAGTATTATGAGTATTATAGGTATTACGGCATTGCGGCATTACGGTTTACAGCATTTACGGCATTCAGGTTCTTTGCTGTGTATATATACAGTATTACGGCATTATAGCATCTGCTGTAATTCAGCAATTACAGCAGCAACTATAGGATTTTGACTGTCAGAATTTTGACTATTCGGAATCTTAACTGTTCAGGATTTTGAATATCGGGATCCTATACTGTCAGAATTCTGTTTTTGTTGGGATCTTGACTTGTCTGTATTTTATCTTAGTTGGGATTATGGTTGTTGGAATTATGTATTGTCGGGATTTTGGAAGTCGTGATTTTGTAGTAAAACCGAATTAGTTCAAGATTAACTTTGAAACTGTGAACTGTTCAAGATTGACTTTGAAGATCGTGAACTAGTTCATGATTGACTTTGGGGATCATGAACTAGTTCATAATTGACTTTGAGGTCGTGAACTAGTTCACGATTGACTTTGAGGACCATGAACTAGTTCACGATTGACTTTGAAGACTGTGAACTAGTTCACGATTGACTTTGAGAACTATAAACTAGTTCATGATTGACTTTGAAGACTATAAACTAGTTTACGATTGACTTTGAGGACCGTAAACTAGTTTATGATTGACTTTGAAAACTATGAACTAGTTTACGATTGACTTTGAGGACCGTAAATTAGTTCATGATTGACTTTGAGGATCATGAACTAGTTCATAATTGACTTTGAGGACTATGAACTAGTTCACGATTGACTTTGAAGACCATGAACTAGTTCACAATTGACTTTGAGGACTGTGAACTAGTTCACGATTGACTTTAGAACAGTATTGGAAATTTCAGCTTGAAATACTGTTCTCATAAGAATAGTAAAACACTTTTTAGTGTTCTCAACTATTATTTGGTATTTACATAAAAAAAAAACAATTACTACACAACTAATTAGAAGAACTTGCATACATACTCTTGTTGATCTGTTTCTGAATTTTCTGAACTGTCTTAGTCATTAAATGTATTATCTGAATTAAATAGACACTTTATTTATTGCAGTATATCTAATAATTCACTTTACCTTTTCGATCTTAATTCTGAATATTTCTGAGATATGTGGTCAAGTTAAATAT